AGCCTTCCTCTGCCCCTGCTCTACTGGCTTGCCTTCCTGCTGGAAACTGTGAGCTTCCTGCTGAGTCCAGTCTACAGGTATCGACCTCTCTTTAACCGCCACTTGGTCACACTGACAAATAGCGTGTTCACTTTCTCCTACAAGAAAGCTCAGCGAGATCTGGGCTATGAGCCACTTGTCAGCTGGGAGGAAGCCAAGCAGAAAACCTCAGAGTGGATCGGGACACTGGTGCAGCAGCAGAGGGAGACACTGGACACAAAGTCTCCATGATGGGAAGAGGGTGGGGAAGTGGTACTGGGTGTTACCAGGTCTTCCAGCAAGGACAGAGGCACAAGCCAAGTCCTGCTGCCTTCTTTTGACACAGAGGCCAATTTAGTGCCTTAATCGAGTCACCAGAAGCCTTGCTAGTCACTGACCCAGCCACAAGCCTTCTTTCTGAAGTACCTGCCCAGAGATACACGGGCAGCTGTGCCCTAGCTCTTGAGTCCAAGCTCCTCAGCACCTCTCGTACCTCAGAGCTCTCTCCATTATTTCCTCTCCCCATTTAAACCATGTCTAGCCTTCAGAAAATTCTGCTTGCTTTATGAAGCCCAATGAAATGAACAATAAATATTTGTTAATACCTCATCTGTGGACTGTGTTTTTCCATAAATAAACAATTCTATGTCCCTTCTATGTCTAGACATGGCCATGCTGGAATCAGAAGGGGATCATGGGTCTGAGGTGGATTGAGGGAAAGTTGGGAACAGATGCAGATGTGAGATTAATTCCAAGCTATTGTCCTTTGGGTGTGCACTAGTTGACTGGAATGGATTACTTTATTTTGTGTACTATGGACCATAACAAATGGAATGTTAGAGTTAGTTTCTTCCAGAGATTCCCTCCCTGCTCCGTCCAGGAGGGGGCGCAATCTAAAAGAACATTCTCAGTGTTACACATTTTCTCAGAGCTAAACCATCATATGTCTGTTTGATGATTTTTGTTACAGCTTTTCCATAAAATTCATATCATTTTTTGTTATCATTGTGCTATGTTACTTTTCATCTAGATCTGTGAAGACTCACTCAACGAAGAAAAGAATGATGTAGATACAACAAAAGTTCTGTTGGAGATGAGACAGATGTACTCTCCAACCCACTCTGGTAATGAGAGAACCAGAGTATTAGCAGCAATGTCAGGTTTCTGACCTGATATCGTGCATCTGTCACATAGAGAATCTTGCTTTGTAGCCCTATCTGTCCTAGAATGCACTCAGTAGACCAGGCTTACCTTGAACTAATAAAGATTCTCCTGCTTCTGGATTCCTAATGCTGGGATTAAAGGCATTCACCACCACGTTCAGACTCAGATCCTGTTTCTGCAGTGAAAGGAACTCCAACAACTCCTTTTGGAGGGGGCTATCAAGTGTTATCAAAACTTCATCTACCCTTGAGATTCTAAAGAGGAAATGACTGTGTACCTGCAATGGTTCTGTTTTTGCCTCGATTTAGGCTGTACTTATGCATAGTGTAACCGCAGTTCTTGTCCTGTTTACTCTAAACTTTTTGTAAATACATATGTATATGTGGATCCTATGACTGTAACACTTATTTATTTATTTATTTATTTATTTATTTATTTATTGTCTGCACTTACATGCTCAAGCATGTGAACCAAGGAAGGTGTATTCAGAGGTCAAAGGACAACATGATGGAGCTAGTCCCAAGGATTGAACTCAGATTATCAAGCTTTGGGGCAGGAGCTTTTCCTGCTGAGCCATCTCATCAACTTTTAAACTCAAGCTCTAAATGTAAGTGAGAGACTTTTCCCTGTCTGATGGTCCCTACTCCAGCCCTGTACCCTTTTTTCCTGCTGCCTTCAAAAAAACATATTAAGAAAGGTTTTTGTTTCAGCTTATCTAGATGGAAGGTCAGTACTAAACAGGAAACTCTCATCATAGGCAGGTATTTTTCAGGCAGAAGCTGGACGATCTCTGAGTTCATAGCCAGACTGGTCTACAAAGTGGGTTGTAGGACAGCCAAAACTACACAGAGAAACCCTGTCTCAAAAGAAAAGAGGAAAGAAGGGAAAAAAGAAAGAAACAAAGAAAGAAAGAAAGAAAGAAAGAAAGAAGGAAGGAAGGAAGGAAGGAAGGAAGGAAGGAAGGAAGGAAGAGAGTTAACTCAAAGATTTATTAATTAATAAATTCTTTATTTTATTGCCAGAGATTTGCAAAAAAGGTAAAAGATCCCATTTTGAAACAGATCAGAGCCTGCAGTGGCTTCTTCTCACACACTACCTCATCATTCCCTGGGAACTCCTGGATCCTGGCAATATACCCAGCTTTCCTTTCTCCTCCCATCCCTTTGTGTGAGCAGTATATATCTAGAAACAGCCTCTATCTGGAACCCTAGTGACCATGCCAGGTTGAGATTCAAGTACATGATTTGCATTCTTCTTCCTGTTCTTTATTACATTCTGTAGCCTTACCTCATTCCTGTAGCAGCTGGCTTACAGGAGACTGACCTCTCATCCTACCGCCATTCCTGGGGAGCAGAGCTTTCCTCCTTCCTGTGGACCTTCTTACTGTCTTGCCCTGACTGACCCTAATTCTGTCTGTCAGTTCCCAATACCTAGATGCACTTTCAACCCTAGGACCCCAGTAGCCATAGCTGGTAAGCTCTCAGTTTATGGAATCCCTCGCTCTTACCTGTCCTGCATAAAGACCTCTCTACTCTCACCCTAGGATTGGTAACAACCTGTTTACAGGTTCCTTCCTCCCCTCAAGTCCTTTCACTGGAAACTCCAACTCTTGTCTCACACTCAGACTCCCTGTAGCCCATTGAACCCTGTCTCTCCAGATCATTCTTTGCCTTACTGTAACCTACTTGCACAAAAAGCCTTCCTTCCATCACACATACAGCTCCCTGGAGACCTTATCTCTTGGTGAAGATAGTATCACCATAGCTCTTTCCTGAAGCCCCTCTCAGCTTTTGTTCTAGCCCACCTCTAGTCCTCTTTGCCATCCACCAACCTGCAGAAGCATTTACTATGAGACATCTCACAAACACCACAGCATTATGAAGTCTGTCTCAGTGTGCAATTGTCTGTGTACAGCTGAGTGTGGCACTGCAGTGTATGGATTCTCAACTGTTCTCCAATGTAACTACAGGCTTTTTTTTTTACTTAATTTAAAAATTGCTTCCTATAATGAAACCTCAAAGTTTTATTTTTAAAGCTATGTTGACAAAGCATACAGTAGAAAGTCTTTGTTCTTTTCTGTAATCAAAGTACTTAGTCATGGAGAGAGAGAGCGAGAGCGAGAGCGAGAGCGAGAGAGAGAGAGAGAGAGAGAGAGAGAGAGAGAGACTATAAACCTTGCCTATAACATACAAGTCACCTCATTGTTTTTTCAATGCTCATGTAACCATGCTATGGTCCTGTTTATTAAGGAACACCAGGAAGCATGGATTAACTTAGAAATAAACATGAATCATGGGAATTTCCTGGGTTATTCATAAGAGTGACAGTGTGTTGTCTGTGTTTAGTTACTAAGAACCTGATGGAGGTTAGTGTCCAAGCTGATGTGCCAGCCTTCATCTACCACCTCAGTTCATATTTCAGGCCCCAGTCAGGAGACAGTCCTGGATAGACATGAAGAAGAACATAATCAAATAACATGTACTGGTCCATATCCATATGCCAAAAAGTTGGCCAGGAAAGCAGTGCTAGAAGTCAATGGCTGACTCTTAACAATAGTGTCGCTTTACATACTTATGCCTTAAAGCCCATGTACATTTAGGAGAAGAGATGTACATTTGTGTCTCACACAGTGGTTAGGGCTATCAAATTTACTGTATTATTATTGGCATATCATCTATAGTCAACTAAATGTCTGTGTACAATGTGGCCCAGGCACATATTCTGGCAGCCAGGGACCTACAAACCCTAAGTAGTCACTGCACATCCAAGGACAGTTCTACTATGTCTCCAATTACACCTCTCCCCAAAGCTATGATAATTTCAGTTGTTCATTGAGCAAGCTTTGGGGCCTCTGCCTTGATTCTCGTTCAAACTCTTCTCTGCTCCTGCTATAGCAGCTCTTTTCCTAAGCCTTCTTTCCTTGGGAAAGTAGAAAACATAGTTCAACAAGGAGACTGGTATGAAAGTCTTCATCTTCCCACAGAATCTTGTAGCCCATACTGGTTTGCACAAGAACAGCAGAGCCCTGGATCTCTTGGCTTTTTTCCTGCACAGCCCTCAACATGATACTCCATAGAATCAGGAAAGGCCTTTGAGGGCACTTTGAATACTACATGTGCTTTATCCCATGGTCTTAGTCATAAAAGGGAGAAGTAGAAATGTCCTCAGCCTACTACCTCACAAACCAAACAACTCCTGTCTTAGTAATTGCAGCAGGGCCTAAATACAGAAGAACATCCCAGCTGGACTGTCAATCTTTGATATCACATTGAAGAGAAAGGGGCAAGGGGGTCATGGAGCCTTCACCTGAGCATCCAACTGCTCCTAACTACATGTTATGTTAAATTCTCCTCTAACTTTATGTGGTCTCAGGGACAGGCTGAGGTATGTAGGAGGAGAAAACTATGGTGAAAAAGTCTTCATCTATTACTCTGAGATAGTTATCATCATGTTAGTCAGTATTGAGTGAGTGGTTTTTATTAAATATATAGCTAAGCAAAAGCAAAATTACATGTAAAAAGCAAGAGAGAGAGAGAGGGAGAGAGAGAGAATACCAGCAAATACACCAAGAACATCATCAAATTAGGGGCTTACACTAACCAGTAGATATGATTAGAGTAACCCAAGTGGGAGAGTAAGCAAAAACTTACCTCAAATCATGATCTTGAAACATCCAGTAGAAATGACTGGGGAGGTCCTGCTGAAACAGTCCTGCTATAGCTCCAGAGGTTCATAGTGTTTGGATGCAAACCCCCCACCCAGGCTCACATGTTTAAACCTGTGGTACCCATTGGTGAAAATACTGAAGAAGCATTAGGAGGTATGATCTTGTTGGAGGAGGTATGTCACTGGAGGTGGACTTTAGAGCTTCCAAAGAATGCTGCCAATCCTACTGCATGCTCTGCTCTCTGCTTCCAGACCAAGAAGGGAATTCTTAACTGTGCCTGCCTTCAGGATCTCCAACCCTTGGAAACAAAACGTAAGTCCAATTAAATGCTTTCTTTTATAAGATGTTTTGGCTGTGATGTTTTGCATCAGCAATACAAAGTAAAGAATACACTGCCTGGTGGGAAGGTTTCTACTTGCATGGGTGAGCTTTCTATTGTTTATTCCCATATTAGGTAGATTTCTACCATGAGAGAAGCAATACTAACTTCTGTTGGCAATGGTAGTTCTAATGTTCTCATGGGCGCAATGTCTTGAATAGCCTTTTTTTTTTTTTTGGCCTGTCTCCATATCACAGTGGTGAAAGAGGGGGAGATTTTCCAAGAAAAAGTCTTAAAGGACATTTGAGATAATCATGCTTGAGTCTGAAATCAGATGACTGTTCCAGTTCTCAGATTTGACTCTCAATATGTGGAAACAGTGTGTGTAAATTCACAACTAAAAGGAGTAATGAGATGTGTCTTCTCCTAACACATTTTTCTCAAGTCCTTATTCACTAT